AGAACTCAATGGCTTTCCTTAAGAAATACAGTTTCGATGGCATTGTCCTCGAGTTCACCAACGGCTGGTCCATCGACTATATGGAGAAATACATCAAATTGGTGACTGTCCTCAAGGAGGACTTCAAAGCCAGTGGATACGTGTTGGGGTCCGTGTTGGCCGCCCAGCTCCCTGGTTATGAAATCAAGAAAGTGATCGAGTAAGTTTTGAAGATTTTGTGTTGAGTAATTATACATTTAAGTAATTTTTAAATTAATTAAATAATTTATTACAAATATGATGGCTGAGAACAGTAATATTATAGAAGTTTCCTTGTAATTTCTTTAAATAGTTTGTTATATCTGATATATTAAAAGTCTCAATACTCTAGTACTACGATGCACATTCATATTAATCAGGGCCACACTAACAGTTACAGTTCAGTTAAATATTGTACATATTACTAAATTTGCTACAACACTAGTTTTTAGTGTCTCATTATAAACTTAAGAGTAGTATAAAAATGAATTGTAAATTAAAGTGTAATTAATATTCTAAAATAATTTATTAGTCGATCATAAATACAAAATATTTATAAATTTGTTTTAATTTACACAAAATAATACAAAATATAATCAAATTAAATAATTAACATTAATTAACATAGACAAGTGGACTTTATTTCCGTGAACACCTTTGACTATAATGGCCCCTGGCACGAAACTCCCCCGCAAACCCCGACTGGCCATGGTGCCTCGTTGACTGATATCGTAAGTACATTATATAAAAATGTATAATAATTATTTAACTAATATGATGGAAATATAATTTATTAATATTACATATATAATATAGAAAGCATCCATGACAATATGGGGTGACCAAATTGACAAGGCACAAATGAGCAAGCTACTGGTGTGTACATATGTCTATCTGGCTAAAATTAAAAATTAAAATATCTTATTTTAAAAATTATTTTAAATATACGACTAGATCTCACTCCCATTTTATGGACACACCTGGAAACTCGCTGACCCTACTGACCACAGCGTCGGTGCCAAAGCTAGTGATAAGGGTCCTGCTCAACCATTCACTAATTCATCCGGATTAATTGGTTTCAACGAGGTATTTATATTCTATAATAATAAATTATAAACACAAACATTGCTCAATTTAATATATAACCGACATTATTTATGTGAACAAGGTGATGTTGAAAATTAAAGATAGTGGCTTGACCATGGAGGAGGACAAGGATGCTGGCTCAGTTTACTTTTATAAGGATGACCTATGGATTACCGTTGAGGTCGATACCACCGTTAAGGCTAAGACCAATTGGGCGACGACTGAGGGCTTCGGAGGGGTCACCGTTAGGGCCATAAATTACGACGACTTTAACGGTTACGTAACGACTAAAAAAC